ACCACCTGTATTGACGAGGGTTGAGTCTTTTTGCCTCTTTCAGATAAACCAGGTTTTTGTGGTCCATCCAAATGATGAATGGCTTCTCCACACCCTCCAACCAATGTCGCCACTCCTCGATGGCAAGCTTAACAGCGAGCAGCTGCCTGTCCCCGACGTCGTACCGGCTCTCAGCTGGCGTTAATCGTCGGGAGAAAAAAGCACATGGGTGGAGTCGATGATCAGAGGGAGATACCTGGGACAGTACTGCTCCAACCCCTGTGTCCGAGGCATCCATCTTGAGAGTAAACTGCTGCTGGGGATCTGGTCGATGAAGCACGGGAGCGTTGGTGAACCTCCTCTTGAGAGCCTGGAAAGATGCGTCTGCTTGGGGGGACCAAATGAAAGGCTTATTGACAGAGGTGAGGTTAGTCAGTGGGATGGCGGTTTGACTGTAATTTCTGATGAGTCTGCGGTAGAAATTTGCAAACCCCAGGAACCTCTGTAACTGTTTTCAGGTGGTTGGTGTGGGCCAGTCGGTGACTGCTTGCACCTTTTCTGGATCCGTCTTCAACCGCCCGCTCTCTATTATGAATCCGAGGAACTTGACAGTGGGGACGTGAAAAACACCCTTTTCTGCTTTGACATAAAGTTTGTTCTCTAATAAACGCTGTAATACAGCAAGAACATGATGGGTGTGCTGGCTCAAAGTCTTAGAAAATATTAAAATGTCGTCCAGGTAAACCGTCACAAACTTATTGAGGTAACCTCCCAAAACCAAGTTTACAAGTGAATGAAAAACTGCTGGGGCGTTCGTTAATCCAAACGGCATTACTAGGTAGTCAAAATGTCCAAAGGGGGTCTTATGACCAATAAGCTGTGGTACTCTATTTAAATATAAAATATCAACCCTGCTTGGTCTTTACTGTGTTAATCAGAAGATTCCATGATTCTTTGTTTTATTCAGGGATTGGAAACACTTTGTTTCGATTCAGGAAAGAGTCAGGTTTGTAAAAGTAAGAATTTAGTTCACAAACTATTAAAACATGACAAGTTAACTAATATTTACTGTGAGTGGATGGATCCCGATGGAGTAGGTGTAGTGTATGGTGCCTATGTGTGAATGCGATGTTATCAGAACTTCTGTATCTAGGAAAGCTGAGTTCCTAGGGTGTAAAAGAATTTGGTTTGCGTTAAGCGAAGAAGTTGATTATTATCAAAAGGCATCAGACGCTATCTGTGTGTCTACTTCACCCGTTCTCGGAGACCCGCTTCGTGGCTCCGAAGGTCAGACAGGTCGGATGACCTCTGGCATCGAGGGCTTTAGAATACCATAGCTCCGACTCTCCAGTAAAAGAGATGTCTCGGGTCACGACAGATGGATGGAACCTCACGTCCGGGACTCTTACGGAGTCGGAACAATATCAGCTTGTTCTGCTGGAACTGTCTGCTGTATCAGCTTCGCAGGTGCAAAAAGATTTTGATGACGTGTCAAAAGCTTTGATGGGTTAAAGAGGTTTTTGCTTCAGATGGCCGGTCTGAAGCGTTCTCAAGAACTGATGAATCACCAGAGTGATCCGGTTTTAATGTTCTCAAGTTATTTGTGTAGCCAACCAGAGGTTGACATGTTGAGGAATATTATCAAGACAACCTCAGAAACACGCCTTCTTTGATGCTCTGATCAGGGGTAAAGGGCTATCTATGTGTCACACGTTTGACTAACTTTACTTTGTCCTTGTGTGAGTGCAAATGGTAATGGCCTTGTCATATCAACATGCTGAAACATATATAAACCTTTCAATGTAATCATAACATAACATTCATTTCAAACTTTCAATCACTCAAGCACAGATCAATGAAAGCATTTCATTATATTATAATTATTATAAGTAGCAATAAACAAACATTTATTTAATGATTAACTTATAAGTTTTAAATGTTCATATTTAATTTAAGAAATCATTCTTTGATTCAGCAACTAATCCGAGCTGCGAGTGTTCCTTATTCAAAGGCATGAAGAATCCTGTAGGACAATAAGGGAAGCTTGGGCCTTGAGGAGAGAACATCATTGTTGACAATTCATTATCATGTGTTCAGAGCTGCAGAGAGGCTCTGAGCATCAGCTGGTGGGATGAAGGCAGGCAGATTAAAGGGAACACATGCAGTCTCGTGTCTCCATTTTGACCAGATGTTGAAGGGTCACGCTGTACTTAAAAACTGACCATTACTGGACATTACAGTGGATTCTGGGCTTCTCTTCTTTTCTTCCAGACCTTGGGACCTTAATTTCTAAAGGAAATGCAAAATTTACTTTCATCAGAGAAAGAAACTTATGTTTATGTATTAGCAGATGCTTTTGTCCAAAGCAACTTACAGATGATAATGAAGCCAGCAGGTTGCCCTGGAGGCTACCAACAAACTAATCAGTCAGTCCTAGGTGGCAGTGAGGCAGCATGGTGAATCATAGAGGGAAGTGAACATGGAGTGTGCAGTAGAGTGGGGGACGGGTGCAGGTCGGGTCCTAGGGTGGACCTGGGTTTTCAGGAGTTTCTTGAAATTTGACAATGATGTCCCTGATCTGGTAGTGCTTGGTAGGTTTGTTCCATAGACATGCAACAACAGATGAAAAGAGTCTGGACTGTCCTGAGCGTGGTGTAGGCACTGCTAGCCGATGATCCTTTGATGACTGAAGACGCCGAGCCGTGATGTAAGCCTGTAAGAGGATTCAGGTAGATGGGAGTCGTACCATCCAGAACTTTGTATGTTAGTGTTAGCTATTTGAATTTGAAACGTGTAGCTAACAGTAGCCAATACAGCTCAATGAACAGAGGGTGACATGTACTCTTTTAGGCTGATTGAAGACCAGATGTGCTGCTGCATTCTGGACCATTTGAAGAGGTCTCACAGTACAGGCTAGAAGACCAGTTAGAAGGGCTTTGCAGTAATCGAGGCGGGAGATGACAGTAGATTGCACCAGGAGCTGGGTGGCATATGGGCCATTCCCATCTGTACCGGGTCGGCCCGGGCCGGGTAGCGTAGGTTGTTTACATATCTGGGTGGCCTGGTATTTTTCCGGGCCAACCAAGGCTCATTCTCAGCCCTTTTCTCGAGGGGGTCTGCTTCAGGCCGACCAGGACCAACACACCCACTGCTGACAGCAAATTCACACCTTCCATTAGAGCAAGCCTCTGATTGGTGGGTAGAATCAGCCCACATGGGCTTAAGACAAGGATGTGTGGAATCAACCGGGCCAGGCTGGGGCTGACTGGGGCTACCCGGCCCGGGCCGACCCGGTACAGATGGGAATGGCCCAATATTGTGTTAGGTACGGTCTGATCTTTTGTATGTTATACAGCGTGAAGCGACTTGAATGAGCAACAGAGGCAACGTGATCTTTAAAGGTCAGCTGGTCATCAATCACAACACCCAAATTGCGAAGTGCCTTTGAAGGAGCCAGAGACAGGGAATCATTTTGGATTGAGATATTGTTTCGTATGGCTGATTTCACTGGGATGGCAAGTAATTCAGTTTTAGCAAGGTTGAGTGGAAGACGGTGGGATTCTATCCATCTTGATATGTCAGAGAGACAGTCTGAGATTTGTGCATTGACAGTGTGGGCATCCAGCGGGAATGACAGATAGAGCTGGGTGTCGTCGGCATAGCAATGGTAGGAGAAGCCATGTGATCAAATGATCTCACCCAGTGAGGTGGTGTATATGGCAAAGAGAAGAGGTCCCAGTTCAGAGCCCTGGGGGACTCCTGTGGCAAGATGAACAGTAGAAGATTGTCCGAGCCAAGATACACTGAATGATTGTCCTGTCAGGTACAATTCCAACCAAGAGTGTGCTTTCCCTGTGATGCCCATGCTACAGTATGGACAAAAGGAAGCCATAGTTGACAGAGTCAGATGCAGTCGATAGGTCAAGCAGGATCAGTACTCAGGATTAGGCAGTCGCTCTAGCTTCTGTTAAGGGTTCTGTCACTGCTAACAGAGCTGTTTCAGTGGAGTGGCCATGTTGAACCCAGACTGGTAAGGGTCAAACAGACAGTTTTGTGAGAGGTGTCCTGTGACCTGCTTGAAGGCCGCCCTTTAGATGATTTTAGACAGAAACGAGAGGAGAGAGATAGGTTGGTAATTCTCCACGTTTTGGAGGAAGGAAAGTTTTTGGACCACTCAGCAGCAGTCCAGTCCTTTTTGTCTTCTGAAGCTGTCTCTTGTTGAAGAGTGGCTTGACACAAGGAATGTGCCAGCAGAAAACCATGTCTTGCACACATATGCACTGACACCAGCTGCAGTCCACTCCGTGACTCTCCACACGTTTGAATTGGTTTTGTTTCACAATCTTCTCCAGGGTTGGGTTATCTCTGTTGCTTGTACACTTTTTTATCCACATCTTGTCCTTCCCCTCACCTCTCGATAATGTGCTTGGACCCAGAGCTCTGTGAACAGCCAGCCTCTTTTTTCTTCTAACCTTTTGCGTCTAGCTCTCCTTGTGCAAAGTGTCAATGGCCGTCTTTTGGACAACTGTCAAGTCAGCAGTCTTCCCCGTGGTTGTGTAGCCTACAGAACTAGACTGACTATTTAAAGGCTTTTGCAGGTGTTTGGAGTTAGTTAGCTGATTAGAGTGGGGCACCAGAGGTCTTAACTATTGAACCTTTTCGCAATATTCTGAGATACTGAATTTGGTCTTTCCATTAGTTGTCAGTTATACGCATCAACATTAAAGAAATAAACTTTTGCAATATATCAGTCTGTGTTTGATGGATGAGTCTAATGTACAAGTTTCACTTTTTGAATGGAATTACTAAAATAAATCAACTTTGTCCCGATTTTCTAATTTAATGACCAGCACCTGTACTGTATGTACTTGTGTTTGGTTTTACACACACACACACACACACACACACACACACACACACACACACACACACACACACACACAAACGGTGGGATGGCGAACCCTGGTGTTTGGCGCAGAGCCAGCAGAATGATGGTGATAATGAAATAAAGGACTGATGACTGACAGCTACTGAGATTTATTAGAAATCGGAATATTTGCAAAAATAAACTGTTAACAATAAAGTCTCACATAGTAAAAACAGTCATCCTTGTTCTGCTGCGTGTCAGAGGCCCCAGCAGGCTTGTGAGGAGTTCTTTTACACATGAGTGATTTGTCCCTTTCAATCTCCCAGATGGTCATGGCTTCACTGTCCAGTGAACTCCGTGAGCTGCAGGAGGCCGAGCTGCTCTCAGGAGCTTTTCCTGGTGCAGGCTGATTGAGTCCCCTGGAGATCCGCCTTAGATCTGCAAACACACAGTCTGGTGGGACTCTTGCATCTTATTCTCTGTAAGTGTACGTCAACTCTGTTTAAATAAGAGTGGACCTGGAATAATACCCTGGATTAGCACAGAGCTCCTGTAGCCATACGTACCCCCGTCTAAAGTAAGTTTGTGTTTATGTGAAAAAGTCATAAATGCCAAATCTAAGCTCTAGTAGATAACAGCACACCTACTGGCCCTAAGCTAGCACCTGTGGTACTAACACAAGTAAGTAAGTAAGTAAAGTTTATTTATAGAGCGCCTTTCACAGATATAAATCACAAAGCGCTGTACAACATGATAAAGATCAGGGCAAATACCTCAAACCAATAAAAACATCAGAAAAACAATAGCAGTGACAACAATAGTAACCAAAATCATGAGTATAAACAAAGTGAAGGTGTGAACAAGAACAAAGCTATCTTTTAGAATATTTAGGGAGGGAACGCCTGGATGAAAAGGTGAGTTTTTAAATGATTTTTGAAGACCTCTACAGATTTCAAGAGACGGAGATTTGAAGGTAGACTGTTCCAAAGTCTGGGTGCAATAGTCTGAAAGGTCCTGTCCCCTTTGGTTTTCAGTCTGGTTCCAGGAACAGCCAGGAGGTTTTCAGATGTGGATCTAAGGTTCCGAGAGGTGGTGTGTGGGGATAAAAGCTCAGATAGGTAGCTTGGAGCCTGGTTGTTAAGAGCTCTATAGGTCAGCACTAAAACTTTAAACTGTATTCTATATCCTAGCGGGAGCCAGTGGAGGGACTGTAAACCTGGAGTGATGTGAGCTCGTCTGCTGGATTTGGTTAGGAGACAAAACACACCTGTAGCCATGCCTCACACCTTTGATGCTATCGGTGTTTACCTGTTGTGTGTCATGTGACTCTTGACGAGGTGTCCGGCAGCCAGGGCGCTCATCAGGGACAGTTCTCCTGCCAGGACCGTAGCACACACAATCCTGGCCAGCTGGCAGGCATTTTCACCGGGACATTCCTGGTTGGCTCCAAGAACACCCAACATCTAAACAAACACAGAAGCACTGATTAAATGGCTGCTGAAGGGTGCTGTTTTTAAACCCGTCAGAAAACAGCGGCGATTAGAAAAAGGTGCTGCGGTACCGGTACCGGCCCAAAGCACTGCTCTCTGTCCCTAAAGGATATGAGTCTGATGATCATGATCAGTTCCTAACAGCCGCTGTTTCTCCCTCCCCAACCCACCCGCGCACCCAGCACTGCACACTCCTCACTGTAAAACAATCGTACCGGCTCAAAAACTGCACCTTAAGCCAGTTCTCCCAACATGATCACACACAGGCCAGACTGAACATGCATCTGTGGCCAGAGCCTTCTAATTTTTCTATCTCCCCTTCTCTGCTCCACCTTCACTGGCCTGTCTCGGTACGTTTTGCCTCTGGGGCCAAAGGTGCTGTAGCACGCTCTGGACTGGGGGGGTCTCTGCAGCGCTTTGCCATACCAGATGAAGTGAGAGGAGGGGGTGTCTGTGTGCCCAGCTTGCTCCATTTGTGTGAGCACCAGGAGAGCAGATGTCCTGATGAGCTGCATGACGGATTGTTCATTTAGATTTTACGCGCGTTATGACCATCCGCAATCACCGAGCGGGCCAGAATGACGGCCAGGCCGCCGGGAAATCTCTCCGTTTCTCCTGCTTACCAATCCAAACACTGGACAAAACAACATCCACATCACTGCAGATGAAACACCAATCTACCTTTGATCTTTCACTCCAGCTTCCCCTCACTCGTGAACAAGACCCCGAGATACTTAAACTCCTCCACTTGAGGCAGGACCTCGTCCCTGACCCGGAGAAGGCATTCTACCCTTTTCCGACTCAAGACTATGGTCTGGGATTTAGAGGAGCTGATTCTCATCCCAGCTGCTTCACACTGGGCTGCAAACTGCCCCCCCCCCCCCCCCCCCCCCCCCAAAAAAAAATTGTAGATCACTGTCTGATGAAGCCAACAGGACCATATCATCTACAAATGCAGAGACCCGATCCTCAGGCCACCATAACAGATCCCCTCCACACCTTGGCTGTGGCCGGAAATCCTGTCCATGAAGGTTATGAACAGAATCGATGATGAAGGGCAGCGTTGGCGGAGTCCAACTCTCACCAGGAATCAGCCCGACTTACTGCTGGCAACAAGGACCAAGCTCTGACGCCAGTCATACAAGCCCTAACAGTCCGTATCAGAGGTATCCCATACTCCTGGAGTACCCCCCCCCCCCCGAGGGACGCGGTAGAAACGCCTTCTGTAAATCCATAAAACATATTAGATAAGTTGGGCGAACCGTAGACATAGATAGAACCCATGTGACCGCTACTCCCTATGGGCGCTGACAAGCGGTGGCCGCGGCCATCTTGGATCGGGTCGAATTTCCTTGTAAAAACAGCTGAGGCACTCCACACATTGTGGAATGGATTTCCTGTTTTTGTAATCACAGTTTTTACTCTTCCCATTTGTATGATGTTTTTAATCTTCTAAATGAATATTATTATACTATATTTTAGTCTTTGTGAAGCGCCTCGTGATCCTGCTTGAGACGCTATAAAGAAGGATTTGTCAGAGCTCCTCTGTTGGGCAGCCGTGAGCGCGCTGACAGGAGATCCATCTGGATGTGGGATCCTTCATGGAGCGACAGATAAACCACACAAATCCCATTCCAGTCCAGAGAACCTCCTCTGCTCTCCAATCACACACGCGTTGCCATGGTAACCAGACTGAACGAGGCTGCACTCAGACATTTAGATAAAACAGACTCCATCCAGAACGACTCCTTAACTGTAAATGAGAAGCCATTACTCTATGATTGATCAGACTAGCGCTTTATGTATTCTTGACGGGAACGTCTCCTCCGTCCCGACCGCGTTTACAAACTCTCGACTTGTTTGGTTCGTTTGCGCTTCGGCAGAAATGTGTCTCAATCTCACACGTTTTTCTTTTTGTCCCGGGTAGAACGCAGGAATCCCCTCACATACCGAGGACGTAGCGTGACCACATATGGTTCGTTGGGGGCGTTCCTGTGTGTAAATGACTGAGAACGGACACGAGCACCTGGGCACAGGTGGGATTTGTCATCAGACGAGTCTGGCGGAACGTGCGTACGAAAGGCCGCCGCACGTTTCATTAATCACCGTTCGTACAACCATTCTGAATGTCGTTCATACGAACAAATGTAGGAATATCTCTACGGAGCGTTTGATGCACGAGGCCCCCTGGTGGGAGGCGGGTATCGCGTCATACCCGTGTCACAACCCGTGCACGCGCATTGGGTCCACAGCGCGCGTTGTGAACGGGACTCGTGCGCGTGTGAACGGGACTCGCGAGCGAAAATATACATGGCGAGAGGTATGGCGTTTAAAGCATGCCACAACCCGTGCACGCGCATTGGGTCCACAGCGCGCGTGTGAACGGGACTCGCGAGCGCAAATATACATGGCAGCGCGCGGTGAACGGGTCTCTCTCTCTCTCTCTCTCTCTCTCTCTCTCTCTCTCTCTCTCTCTCTCTCTCTCTCTCTCTCTCTCTCTCTCTCTCTCTCTCTCCTCTCTCTCTCTCTCTCTCTCTCTCTCTCTCTCTCTCTCTCTCTCTCTCTCTCTCTCTCTCTCTCTCTCTCTCTCTCTCTCTCTCTCTCTCTCTCTCTCTCTCTCTCTCTCTCTCTCTCTCTCTCTCTCTCTCTCTCTCTCTCTCTCTCTCTCTCTCTCTCTCTCTCTCTGGAAGCCCCACTCTAAGGGAGTTTGCAGTGTATTAGTGAGTCATATATTGTACAACCACAGTCATAAAGTTTTCAATCAGTAGTTTTATTTCAGTATGTATTTTTCCAGTATCACAAAAAATGTAATTTTATATGGTTAAAACCATCTAGCTTATGTGCACTTTTTAAAACACTGCCCAGCAAACATTCGGACGTTTAATGACAGTTGAACGGTCACAACTGTAAAATACCTGAAATTAAGAATAATTAACATGACATCTACTACATTTTCCTTGCCCGGACTCGAACCTGGATACTCCGGGGCGAGAGTCACCTGCTCTCCCAGCTGAGCTATGCCAGCAACTACTGAATATCAGACTTTTTTATATAGATAGAGGGTAAAGTGCAGGGTAAACTAACCAATCAGAGGACAGAGAAGATCTGCCACAGGCCACGCCTCCAGAGTGCCAAAAGCCCTTACAGCCGAGCGAGCAGGAGTCAGAAACCGAGCGCGCAGAGAGGCTGCCGAGCGCGCACAGAGGCTGCCGCGCGGGCACGTTTTCCTCTGCCGTGTGCTCGTTGACAACGCGCGCACGCAGGTTTGTCACTTGTGCACATCCTTGTGCGCTCACAGACACAGTTTTGCTCCCTCTCAGTGCACAAATGACCTCTCGCCATGTATATTTTCGCTCGCGAGTCCCGTTCACACGCGCGCGAGTCCCGTTCACAACGCGCGCTGTGGACCCAATGCGCGTGCACGGGTTGTGGCACGCTTTAAAACGCCATAGGCAGGGCTTACAACCTTACAGGCTCAGACTTTGGTTCTGCAGGTGCTTTGTACATTGTGAATGGGTTACTTTGCATTTACCTGGAGACAGGCCTGCTGCGGGGGCAGGTTGGTGCCTCCTCCCACAGTGCCCAGTTCTATAGAGGGCATTGTGCAGCTGATGTACAGGTCCGCCCCTGATGGCCCTGAAGACTCCATGAGCGTGATGCAGTTACTGCTGCCCACAGACTGGGCCGGGTCCTGGAGGACACACATCCACAGCTAAGATTCCCTGGAGAACACTGGAATGAAGGGAACCCCGTGATCAGGCAGGAAGACCTTACCTGGCCACAGGCAATGTAGATGGCAGCCACCAGGTTGGCTGCATGAGCGTTAAATCCACCGATGCTGCCTGCCATAGCGGAGCCGACCAGGTTCTTATGAATGTTGACCTCAATCAGAGCCTCTGTAAGTTGTCTTGAGGACCTGGTCCACAGGGACAAGCAGGGACATGTTACAGGGACTACGGTCAAGCTGCTGCTCTCAAGCCTGACTGCTTACCTCCTGGACGACCTTTGCAGGGACAGTGGCCTCGCACACAACAGACTTGCCTCTGCCTTCAATCCAGTTGATGGCAGCTGGTTTCTTGTCGGTGCAGTAGTTCCCACTGACAGCAACCACCTGCAGCTCAGGGAAGTGCTGCTGCAGTCTGTGCAGAGCGTGCTCCGTGCCCTGCAGACAAACCAAGCTTAAACGAGTGTGTCCTGTAGACGTACGTCCTTCAGACTCGTCCTCACTGCAGAAGTCAGAATACTGAATAAAGAGGTGTCCGGTCCTGTGTGTTTAAATGATTCGCTTCTAAGGAGCTCAGACATCTTGGCCTCACAGCATCTCTAAGCTAGCGTACCTTAGAGATCATGTTCATCCCCATGGCATCTCCAGTTTTGGAATGGAAGCGTATGTAAAGATTTCTACCAGCCAGGCCAACCAGGAGCTTCTGGAGACGAGCAAACCTGCCAGCAAGGCACCGTCGTGTTGCTTTATCACCCAGACCAATAAAGGTTTAGAGCTAAACACACCTGAGGTGAAGAAGAGTCCAGAAGCAGAAGGTTTTACCTGCTGGTGTTGTCAAAAGCCTCTCTGATATCCTGAAACCCATCAGGGCTCTCCAACCAGGCTTTGACCTCTGCTGCCCTGCAGGCCGACGGGAGCCTCACGACAGGTCCACGGGTCATGCTGTTGGCCAGGACACAGCTCCTGGCTCCACCCCCAAGCTGCAGCACCATCACAACACACACACACACACACACACACGCACGCACACACACACACACACACACACACACACACACACACACACACACACACAGAAAAGCACACGTGCATACACACTCTGAGTGGTGTGTTCATTTTGAATCACTTCCACCTCACCAGGTGTGTGTGTGTGTGTGTGTGTGTGTGTGTGTGTGTGTGTGTGTGTGTGTGTGTGTGTGTGATCAGTGAGGAATCTGAAACTCACCGCGATTGCCCGACAGCCGCGGTTGGTGCTTGCTACCAGGCAGCCCTCTGTGGTGGCGATGGGAACCTGGAACTGCCTCCCATCCAGGTGTAGTGGTCCAGCCACGCCCACTGGGACAGGAATGTAACCAATCACATTCTCACAGCAGGTGCCCATGACCTGAGGAGCAAAGCTTTGATGAAAAGGGAAGTTCAACACCATGAGCAGGTTTTTGTTAGCTGACCTTTGAATAGTCATAGTTGGTGTAGGGCAGAGAGGACAACGCTGATGGACAGGACAGACCTGCAGATATCATCTGTCTCCGTATAGACACCCCTCTCTCTGGTCTCTCCATCATGGCCTCCAGTTTGTATGCTGGTACGTGTTTGGAGGAAACCAGCAGCAGTACCTCCATGTCACTGAGATGGCGAGGCCCCAGCTGCACCAAACACAAAGCCAACACTTAGCCTAAACCCTGAAGTGAGTGGAAACAGATCCCGCTGTTAAACACCACTAGTGGTCAGAGACCCGAGGCTCTGATAACTCAGAAGGTTGTGTCTTTTTATAAAAGCTAAATACTCATTTTTATGACGAGATCCTTTAGCAAACTGAGTGGTGTGAGCGCGCACACACACACACACACACACACACACACACACACACACACGTTTGTGACTACTGACAACACCTAGCCAGATCGTCACAGTGCCTTGAAGGTTAGTGTGTGAAAGGCCGAGCTGGCTTTGGGACTTGGGGTGTGAAGCTGTGATGTTCAGTCTGACCTGCTGCAGAGACCAGGAGACACTTGGACTAGACTGTGGTTGCTAGTTATTTATTTCCATCCTCATTAGTTGGAACTTCTAAAGCTACTTTTCCTGGATACACGTACAGTAAATACATGTACAGTATACACATGTACAGTATATACATGTACAGTATGTACAGTATACACATGTACAGTATATACATGTACAGTATGTACAGTATACACATGTACAGTATACACATGTACAGTATGTACAGTATACACATGTACAGTATATACATGTACAGTATATAAATGTACAGTATATACATGTACAGTATATAAATGTACAGTAAATACATGTACAGTAAATACATGTACAGTATACACATGTACAGTAAATACATGTACAGTAAATACATGTACAGTATATACACGTACAGTATATACATGTACAGTATGTACATGTACATACTGTACATGTGTATACT